AAGGAAGGAGCTGAGTGGGGAGACAGCTATAGAGTATGGACAGGAAGGTGGGGACAGCCAGTATGGAGTCTCTGAAAGTAAGAGTGCAATATGTGCAATAGTTAATATCATTAACACCAGACCTGTTCTCTGCTGCTCACATGGTAGTACAGATTTGGGGCAGCTTGAGTTCAGGTACAGAATCACTTTTCACCTAGACACCTTTGACTTAGCAAGGTTACAGGACAGAGTTTTTCTGCCCCAAGTTTCTCTTTTACTACCTAGATCACAATGCGCCCAGACCAGTGCTGGGCACTGGGGGATACCAGCCACGTTTCTCCGTGGGGATTTGAGATCCCTCTTCTCCAGACCACGTTGTCAAAGCACAAAAAAGTAATTGGTGTGATTCCTCCTGGGATCCCCATTCACTCTCCATACTCAATTTTGGACAACTCTTTCTAGATTTGGAGCTGTGTTTCATTCTAATTTTCACTTTGCAGATTGTTTTTTGTGATCTCTTTGCACTTCCACTGCCTCGCAAGCTTTTCTTATCACTCCTGCAGGCCTTCTGCTGGAACATCGGTGAAACCCCAGTGCTTGGTTTTCCCAAGGACTGCAGGGTTTGCTTTTCAACGATTTCAGGATTGGGCTGCCAGGAGCTGCGGAAAAAATGAAATATACAAAAATAATAATAGGATTATTGTTCTCATCAAACACTGAAAACAAGAAAAATAAACAAAGCATAGGTCAGGACCTGCACTAGCCATAAAAGAAGGAGTTCCTGTTGTTCTTTTAGCAACCAGTGTATGCTGGCACTAGTCAACCAATTATACTTGGTCTGCATACTGCACATTCATGCTCGGTTTTATGTAACTGCCCTAGTAAAAATGCACATTGCCATTGCCACTGTGGTGTGTTGCCACTTCTTCCCTGCTTCTCTGTTTTCTCCACCGTAGATTTACCATCTTCATAAAAGAATTCTGTGCCCATTTCCTGGTTGCCTGCCTTTGGCCATTTGGTTCTTAACTCCTTAAATATTTTTCTCCTGTCAGAGAAAACACTTCAGTATCACCAGCATCTCTCTCCTGTCAGGACCAGATCTGGTGAGTTCGTGCACTCCAGAGGCAGGAGAGTTTTCTCACTAAAAGCGGGTGTGTTTCAGACATATTTCCTCTTCTCCAGTGTCAAAGAAAAGCTGACTAAATACTCCATGTGACAACTACCCCAAAAATCCTGGTTGCCTGGGCGGGAAAAACAAGCTACACAAGGGCAGTAAAAAATCTTTTTTTTTCCTCAGAAAAAGAAGATAAAAAAACCTGTGCCCCTCTCCTCCCAATAAATATGACAGGAGAACTAGTGACAACTGACATGGAAAAGGCTGAGATACTCAACATTTTTTTTTGCCTCAGTTTTCATTGGCAATCTCTCTTCCCACATCTCTCAAGTCCCTGAACCTCAGTGCAGGGACTGGGAGAACGAAGTCCCTCCCATCATAGAAGATCAGGTTTGAGGCCATTTGAAGAACGTGAACAAACACAAGTTTATGGGGCCTGATGAGATGCATCCCAGGGTCCCGAGGGAACTGGCAGAGATAGTTGCTAAGCCACTCTTCATCATATTTGAAAAGTCATGGCAGTCAGGTGATGTTCCCAGAGATTGGAGAAAAGGGAATATCACAGCCATTTTTATAAAGGATAATAAAGAGGACCCCGGGACCTACCGACCAGTCAGCCTCACCTCAGTGCCTGGTAAGATCATGGAACAGATCCTCCTGGAAGCTATATTGAAACATATGGAAGACGGGGAGGTCATTAGAGACAGCAAACATGGCTTCACCAAGGGCAAATCATGCCTGAGTAATCTAGTGGCCTCCTACAATGGAGTGACTGCACCAGTGGATAAGGGAAGGGCGACTGATGTCATGTACCTGGACTTCTGTAAGGCCTTTGAAATGGTCTCCCACAATGTTCTTACTTCTAAATTGGAGAAGTATGGATTTGATGAATGGCTTGTTAAATTATAAGGAATTGGCTGGATGGCTGTATCCAAAGAGTTACAGCCAACGGCTCAATGTCTAAATGGAAACCAGTAATGAGTGATGGAAACCAGTGATGAGTGGTGTCCCTCAGGGGTCTGTACTGGGACCAATACTGTTTAATATCTTTATCAGTGGCATAGACAGTGGGATGGTGTGCACCCTCAGCAAGTCTGTGGATGACACCAAGCCGAGTGGTGCAGCTAATTTGTTAGAGGGAAGCGATACCATCCAGAGAGACCTTGACAGGCTTGAGGAGTGGGCCCATGTGAACCCCATCAAGGGCCAGAAAAACAATCAGAGGGCTGGAACACCTTTCCCGTGAAGAAAAGCTGAGAAAGTTGGGTTTTTTCAGCCTGGACAAGAGAAGGCTGCAGCAAGACCTTATTGTGGCCTTTCAATACGAAGGGAGCTTATAAGAAAGATGGAGAAAGACTTTTCAGAAGGGCCTGTAGTCACAGGACAAGGGGCAATGATTTTAAACTGAAATTGGACACAAGCAAGAAACTTTTTGTGGTGGAAGTGGTGGGACACTGGATCAGGTTTCCCAGAGAAGTTGTGGATGCCCCATACCTGGAAATGCTCAAAGTCAGGTTGGACGGGGCTTTCACTTGATCTAGTGAAAGATGTCCCTACCCACAGCACGGGGGTTAGTCTACATGATCTTTGAATGTCCCTTCCAATGCAAATGATTCTGTGAATCTTAGCAACTTTCCAGAAGATGTTACATTTCTATCTCAAGTTCCAGTTACAGTTTAGTTTTATCAGACAGACCTAGTAGACCAGATGAAATTTGATGTATAATTTGGAATCACCTGCGAGGGAAGAAGAGAGGGAACTAGGGTCCAGCCTTGCTTCACTTTATTAGATGAATTTCTGTCATGAGTTAAAAAACAGTGCTATGAACAAGTTCGTATCTATTTATTTTTAAAAAATCCATTTCCAAATGGATTGTGACATTTTGCCAAGGAGAGCATGGAGATGAGACAGGCAGCAAGAGACAGGGGGAAATATTATATTTAGTCACAGATTCCTGGGCAGAAGCAGCTCATTATGGAACAGGGTCATAGAATGAAGCTGTAACTTAATTTTATCCCATGAAAAAAAGCAGAAACAAAAATTCAGCTTTCTAGAGCTGGACAACTCATCAGGGACTGCATGGTGATGTGACTTGGTGAAGCCCGGGATTATCTGGTAACCTCATGGTAGGGGTCTGCAAGCGGTAATAACTCCCAGGGGGGACCTGTGATCCAGTCAGATTCCAAGGATTAAGCAGACTCAAGAACTGGATTTTCATGGCAGAGTGGGTTAAGGGAGCTCTGCAGCAGGCAGTGCTAAACTACCCTGTTAGTAACATCCTGGGGACTTGCCTGTGTACTCAGAGAAGAATAAACCTGGAGCAAATGTTACACCAAGTGTCTTTCCTCACCAGCGCAGGATATAGCTACCTTGCTCTCGAAATCTCCTGGGAATGACAGAGAACCTGACTACAGAGTTCCCAGTTTCTCACGGTGGCCTGGTATCCCACAGCAGTCCAGCCATCGTCACTGAACTTCCCTCTCTGGAAGGAGCAAACTGGCCTGTGGAAAGGGAACACCATGAACTTAGCCATGGCATCCCCACTGTACTCCAGAATTATCTCCATAGCCCAACCTAGGATACTGTCAAGTTCCTTGTGGAACATTTGTTACTGGTTTGAGCCTTTAGGATGTCTCCTTCAGAGTCTTGGTGGTTGTCTTGCCCCATTTGAGTTTCCTTTGGACCTATGCTGAAAAGATTGTGCATGAACAACATGGCAGACTACATTATTTTCATCTGCCAGTGAGGGGCCACTAGAACAGTGATTTCTCTGCTAGCAGATGGAACATCTCTATCTGTGGCCTATGCGAAGATAGAGATTGCTTATTGATTAATGTTATGTAGTATCTTTATGAAAGGATACATTATATAAAGACGCTCAGCTTGTAAGGGAAAAAAAACCCAAACAACGTCCATGAGAGGGCAGCAAACGCTCAATACTGGAAATCTTTTTCACCCGTCCTGATCATTTTCAGGTCGAAAGCCAGCTACCGAATGATTTTTGTTAAATATTGTTTCTTGTTTTCAACAGTAAAACCTCAGAAGATTTTCCTCCTCAAAAGAAAGCAAAACCAGAGTTTAATATCTTCCCCTGAAGGACAAAACTACCCTTCTTTTTACGTATTTCATTTTTCAATCTCTCTAAAAAATAGCCACGTTATTGTCTATGCCACCACAAGAAAAAATAGTAAAAATCTTCGTCCAAAAGAACCGTTTTACCTTAAAAAAAATGAAATGGAGCACGTAGGGGTTGAACTCTCGATTAGTGTACCTTTACTGCTAAATTCTCCTTGAGAAAACGTTCAGAAAGGACGGGAAATGGAGATGAGAAAGAAATTCAAGGGGGAGTAGAATTTCTGAGAAACACGATTGGACAGATTTTGCTCCGACATGCTCCATTAAAAAACCATGAGGAGCAGCTGTTTAAAACACTGAAGCCACATGTAAGAATCAATGCAACCAGGTGAAACTGCAATACATAACACATACCCGTATTTTAAAATAACAATTATAGTAAAAAATTAAAGAGTAATTTAAGTGATTCAGTAACTGGGATACCTTTCTATAATCGAGGTTTTTCTTCTAAAGGATCACGACGTTATCAAAGATTTAAAAAAATATATAAACTATTATACGCGCAGACCCAACGGCTTTGCTATCTGAAAGAAACGAACGTACAGAAAAACGGCAGCAACACCGAACCGCTTGTGCCGCGGGAAGGGAAACTCGCATGAAACCCGCATTTTTGTGCCAGCGGGGCGCGCGACAGGAAAAGCGGGGGGACGGGCGGGAGCGAGCCCCAAGCCCCGCCCCTCCTCGCTGCAGTCCCCAACCAGGTCGGCTCCCACCACATAAAGGCCGCCGCGCCGCTCCGCTCTCGCTACACTCGTTCCCCGGGTTTCAGCGGCGGCACAATGTCTGGCAGAGGCAAGGGCGGGAAGGGGCTCGGCAAGGGGGGCGCCAAGCGCCACCGCAAGGTGCTGCGCGACAACATCCAGGGCATCACCAAGCCGGCCATCCGCCGCCTGGCTCGGCGCGGCGGCGTGAAGCGCATCTCGGGGCTGATCTACGAGGAGACGCGCGGCGTGCTGAAGGTGTTTTTGGAGAACGTGATCCGCGACGCCGTCACCTACACCGAGCACGCCAAGAGGAAGACGGTGACGGCCATGGACGTGGTCTAGGCCCTCAAGCGCCAGGGACGCACCCTCTACGGCTTCGGCGGCTAAAGCTCTCCGCTCCCGCACCATCTCAAGAACCCAAAGGCTCTTTTAAGAGCCACCCACTTCGTTCTAAGAAGAGCTGTGACATTGTTTTTTCTGGAGGGTCATCTGAAGCATCTACGATACCGTTTCCAAAGCTTGTTGAAACTGATGATTACGGAATACTGCTAAAAAGCTTTCTGGTTAGATACGTGCAATCCAATATTTTAGTTTTGCTGTTAATGGCGAAGTTGTTTTTGCTGTGTAAGACACGCTTTTGCCTTTGTGTACTCCTTAAATACCCCTAAATACTGTTTGAAGTGCTCTTTGTAATCAAAACAATGTTTTCTTTACTTTTTTTTTTAAATCTTCGCCGACTTAAGCATAATTATCTGGAATACTATTAAATGTCTTGTACATTAAAGCTTTCATATAACTGAAGAATAGATAATCCACTGCAAGGAAGAAAGGGAAACAGATGTATCACCTAGGGAGAAATATGAAAGTTGCTGAGATGAACGTTTTCTTTCTGATACTTCTAAATAAACTGTTTTCTTGACTACAACCTATCCTCAGTTTCATGTCGATTTTTTTTTTTTCTTTTTAAAAGCAATTTCAGGAGTAAAACTAATACAGTTTTGTAAAGTACATATTGGGGGGGAGGGGGACACGACACGACAAATGACCGAAAATTACGTCCCTGGCAACACATTTTAAGAAAATGCGTCAAAAGGAGTCTTGCGCGAAGGCTTTTTTCGCAATTCTCCCCCATTCTCGTCCGGGGAGCGCTTCTAAGGCAGTGGTCTTCTGTTTCCTTCATCACCGGAGGAAAAAACGGCAAAAACATTTTTTCGGGTTTACGTAAAACTATCGGTAGTCATTGACCACTCACAGACAACGGCGATGAATAAATATTCGCTGTCACTCCTGGTTTTCTCACAGCGTTAACAAGTAGGGGCAAATTAAATAATTGAGTAATACCGTATTCCTTTTTAAGCTCTTCATGTCACAAATAAGTTCATTGTCTTAAGTATTCTCAAAGTCACGATTTTACTTGATTACAGGATTTCTTAAGCATCTCTCTCTGTGTTTTGATTTACCAGGCTATCTTTCCCTCAGGGACAATGTGCCTGTAACTGTAACAGGGAGCTCTGTGCGGCATTGAAGGAACTTTTTTCTTCTTTTGTTGTCAGCCCACCAAAAAAAAAAAAATCTGTTAAAATAATTTGCGGTTTTAAGAACAGCTCCTGAATTTGAGCCTCCACACGGCTTTTAATCTGTCAGGAGCCTGGCGGAGAGGGAAAGCCGGAAAAGCTGAAGGGATACGAACACCGTGTCTGAAATACCCGCCCCCCAGGCGTTGGACTCGCGCCGCGGGAGCCCTGGTGGGAGTGGGGAGGGGGGGGTGCAGGCAGCGGCGAATTCGGCTTCCTTGCGACCAGGCGGGGATTTTCACGGTACCCAATGAGGTCGCGTTTCCCGTCGTCCAATCAGAGACGAGGCAGCTCTATAAATACCGGCTCTGCGGCTCCTTCTTTCATTTACTCCTGTTCAGTGCGGTGGAGAGGTTGTA